GAGGAAGTGGAGGAGGTGACAGAGAGAGGGAGGGTGGGAGGAAGTGGGGATGCTGTGAGGAGGGGTTCTATATTCTGTTGCAGCAGGAGGTCTGACCTTATAACTTTCTCAGAGCTCCACTGAGGCCATTGCTGCCTGGGAACTGGGGAGCTCACAATTACAAGCTTCCTTTTGGTCCCGGACCCCACTTTGGAAAGTCGCGTTATAGACATCATTCACCATGGAAACAAGGATGAGAATGTTCGATGTGTCCGGAAGCTACTGTTGGTCTGGAAGCAGATGACCTGATGTTTGAGGGTTGCAAAGTGAGTGGTGAAGCGTTTGGGGTGTTTCTGATTGTTCTGTGGGATTACCAAAGAGCAGGGTCAAGGGAAAGCAAACAGACTGTGTCCTTCAGCCTGTGAACAGAATACCACTGTTAGTCCTCCATCCTGCTCAGGGAAACCAAAAACAAACTCACAAGGGACATCTAAAATACTGTTTGGGAATCATTTTGAAATGGAGCTGGTCAGATGGTTTTTCAGGTCAAACTGCCATTTGAGTGACCTTCTAACTGCCTCACCTGGCTGTGTGCCTCGTCCTCTCCTCAGTTAATCTCTCCCTGTCACCTTTACTCCTTCACTCTGCCCCTCTCTCTCCATCTGACCCTTCACATCCCTGCTGCTCGTCCAGTTTCTTCCTCATGGGACGGCGGGGAGACTGCTGAACATTACCAGTACCTCTCTCCCTCTCCCTCTCTCTCTCCCTCTCCACCATCTCTGGAGGGAAACTGCTGTGTAGACGCTCTGGTCATGCCCATGATGCCCTGATACAATGTGACTTTGTGCTCTGGTCCAGTGTGTGATTGCAGGAGATGTGTGAATATCAACGTGTGACCCAGCTGAAGCATAGAAACAGTTTGACAGCAAAGAGCTGCTGAATATGAGACAGAGAAACATGAAACCCGAACAGAATGGGTTGAGACTGCTTTACATGTCACACCCTAAATATTCACCATTCCACTGACTACAACCTTTTAATGTCAGTAAAAACAAAACTATTCTGGCAGCCAGGTTATCCTGTGTCATTTTCCAAACCGTTGAGATTATCCTCCCAGCGTCTTGAGACCGAACGATGCAGGTTGAAGGCCCTCTCCAGAGATTTGATGAAAAATTTCATGTTGACTTCAGCACCAAAGAAGTGACACACAGTCAGTGGGTCAGTACTGAGGGAGTGCCGCACTGTCAGAGGGTCAGTACTGAGGGAGTGCCGCACTGTCAGAGGGTCAGTACTGAGGGAGTGCTGCACTGTCGGAGGGTCAGTACTGAGGGAGTGCCGAGCTGTCAGCGGGTCAGTACTGAGGCAGTGCCGCACTGTCAGAGGGTCAGTAGTGAGGGAGCGCCACACTGTCAGCAGTTCCCTCATTTCTATGATGTTACAACAGAAGATCCATCCGCCCCCTCAGGAGATGAAAAAGATAACAGGGCCCTTGTTTGGAGAGGAGCAGCTCACCTTGGTGTCCTGACCAGTATTTATTGTTCAATCAAAATCTGCAAATCCTTACAGTCTGGAAGCAGCCATTTGGCCCAATGCATCCACACCAACCCTCCAAAGCGAATCCCACCCAGACCCATCCACCTACCCTGTCCATGAATCCCTGCATTTCCCATGGCTAATGCACCCAAGCTGCACACTATGAGCAATTTACCATGACCAATCCACCTAACCTGCACATCTCACACTGTGGGAGAAAGCCAGAGCACCCATGCAGAAACCCAGACAGACACAGGGAGAATGTGCAAACGCTACCCGGGTCCCTGGTGCTGTGAAACAGCAGTGCTATCTACTGAGCCACCATGCAGATATTGCAGATGAAATGGGCACATTTCCTAATCATTGCAAACAATCTTTTAGTATAGAATGGATAGAGACATATTTGACTTTGTAACTGTAATAAACGCCTGTTGCATAAACCCCTCAGTAAAATGAGGATTTCTCAGACACGCCCCACAGCTGCCAACCGTGAGATTTGAAACATCTAAGTGATTCTGTCAATTTCACATGCATGCCAATCATGCCCTCAGCCATTCCCAGACATTGCAAATTGGCGAGGAGTCTTCAGGACTATTAAAGAAACGGCTCATGATTTTTAAGAAGTTTTCTTTGATTTACTTCATGGTTCATTAGAAGTATTAGGGACAGTTTTTGATTCATTCATGGGATGTAAGCATTTATTGCCTGTGTCTAGTTACCCAGTCAAGTGTCAGCCACATTGCATTTAGGTCTGGAGTCACATGTAGGCCAGGCTGGATAAGGAAGGAAATCTACCGTCCTTAAACGACATCAGTGAACCAAATGGGATTTTACATCAATTACCATTAGGGTAGCTCTTTATTCCCAATGTTTATATTTATTTCTTCCATGGTGTGAGTTGAACCTCTACGCCCAGAACTTTACCCTGGGACTCTGGATTGCCAGTCTCGTTGCATTACCATCACAGCACCACCTTCTCCTCGCAGTTAAGACTAGTCCAATCAGGTGTTTAAGAACTTGTCTACTTTCCAAATGGTTAAACACTTCCAAGATGGCTGGTTTGGGTAACCAGTGCCGAGAGAATGTGGAGATGGGGAATGTGGAGACAGAAAGATCAAACCTTCAGGAATACATCCAAATAGCAACCCTCGACTCCCATTCCCTGATTGACCCCATCCTGCTGCTGGATTGAAATAATTCCTCATGTAATGGGCATTGGGAAACCTGGATTGGGAAGTGAACACACTGCTCCTACTAGGATTCCAATATACAAGACTAATCAGACCAGTTTGCCTCATTCCCGAGTTTTACTGCTTTTTCCTTCTGGCAGTCACATGCAGAGCAGCAAGAAATTCATTCAGGGAAGCTGCAGCATGTTGAATCTAGGGTGGGATTTATTGGGAATCAGAAGGGCCAGGATAACATCTGTGTCTAACCTCCTCTAGCCCTGCAGCCCTCAGTGATCTCCCCCCCACCTCCTCTGAGTCT